TGGAGGCGGAAATATACTGAAACAATAAATACTCTTAGGACAATATTTAAATTTTCAAAGAATAGGAATTACTAATTTTCCACCATCATTGCAAGTGTTCATTCAAAAAACGAATGTGTTGTTAATAATCGACAATATTTGTTTAAAAAACTTGTCTGACCTTTACAACAAAGGTAATGGAAAGATGCGGGACCTCAGCAGAACATTTGATTTTAATAAGTTTCCCTTCGTAGAAAAACCGTAATTCATTGCATTCCGTAGTTTTTATTGTCGCAAAGCTGTCCGTTCTTAGTTCGACCCATTTATGTGGGTTTCGTTTTTCCGTAAACTCGAGTGGAAATATTCTATTTAGACTGTTTTGTACAAAATCGGATATCAGTATGTTGTCACCGCGTTTTGGGCATTGGCCTGTAACTAGAGCCGAAGGAATGATAAGAGTTTGATTTAAGTTTGCATTTTAACATTATTTAGACTGGGAAAATGGGATGAATTCATTTGCAGTATTATGCTCTTAACATAGCCTGTCCGAGGTCGGAGACAACCGGACCGATATCAGTGGCATCCCATTACCATTTTGGGCAGAAAAGCGTTTGAATTATTAACTGGATCTTGTGATTTAATAACGTGTGGTTTCGGTCTAGGTCTAAACAACTATGCTAAATTTATTACTTTTCACTTTCTGAAAAGGACCGACCAGGAAGCCTTTGTTGTTAATTTGAAATGAGGCGTGTTGTCCCATGCAAACAGTCAGTCGACGTTAGCATTGGAGCAGCGAATAGATTTTAGGCTTAATTGACACAACAAGAGTCGGCGGTTATGGTGATTTTTCCGCTTCAAACATGTTGAGATGGATTGCAAAATGCTGGTACACGCCATTATACTTTATAAAACGCAGGCTACCTAATAATAGACGAGTTTCTGCATGACACTTCCACAAAACCACAATATTACTAATCTTACAAAGGCCTCAACAGTCCACCATGACAACAGTTAATATGTTTTACAGCGGACATTTAAGCAACAAATCGGAATTTTGAATTCTGTTAGTCGAGGTCATCCTCTGTAAAGTCGAGTCAATGAGTCTGCCTTACGCTTAGATGATTCGATCAGCGGAAAGAAGTACAGACTCACGGAAATAATTCAGGCAATCATGGACGCAGTCGGCAAAGGGAATCAGAACTGTATCATCAGTCGCACAGTATGTTTAACCCAACACTAGCCCTTCAGTCACATGTGTGCTATATAAAATTCAACCGCATACGTGCTTTCCAGTTACAATTAAGCATTATAATTCTGTCCTAGAGCTATTGCGCAGGTTACGGAACGCTTCATGAAGAAAGCCAGAGGTCTACGTGCAAACAGATCTAATGTTTATTGTTCTTCGCATGCTGAAAAGACCTACCGTTAGATAGTTGTCTCTATATGCACCTAGTGTTCATTAAACTAGAGACGCGTTGTCGCATCCAAAGAACTAGCCAACGTCAGTATTCGAGCGACCGGTAAGTCTGCAACGTAACTGTCCAGTTAGGATCGATGAAGAAGGCAGGCGTGACGTATTAACTGCCACATTTGCAATAAAATAATGCAAAACACAGCACAAACATCCCACAGGTTTTCTGCAGTTTTCGAGATTAAGAAAAAAAGATAATTTTACATTTGTTTCAGCGCAGAGTTGTTTCGACCAGAGATGTTTAATGCACCATAATGCAGATATTAAGCATTTACGGTAAACCACCGGTAAAGGCCTTTCTTAAAAGTCAGTTTATTTTAGATTATTAACGTAAACCTACCCTAAATCAGTCATCAGGATGAGTTTTCCGCAAAATAAAACATTTCTTTTTAAAAACATTCAGCGCAGTGTGAAGTTTGCAGCAGACATTTAGGCAGAATAGTAGAATTTGAATTACGGTAGTCAAAATAATTCTCGAAAAATTCCAGTAAGTCTACTTAACCTCCAAAGGGCTCAGAGAGAAAAGTGAATTGTAGACTCACGGAGGAATTTCGGGCAGGCATAGACGCAGCCTGCGAAGGCAAACAAAAGCTGTACCATCAGTCTCATAGTGCGCTCGACCCAGCACTAATCCTTTAGTAAGGTGTGTGTTATATAAACTTCAGCAGTGAACCAAAGACAGCTGACTAGTCTGCCAACTGCCACTCTGAAAACCGCCTTATTATTGCACCGTTGAAAAATACTTAGCGCCAAACGAAACAGTGAAAGAGAAAAAGTTTGTTATTTTCCTTATTACTCTCCTATGCTGTTGTTAGTCTTCAGTTAGAAGACCAGTTGGGGGAGGTTTACCCATGAAATGTCAACAGAAATTCCGAAATGCGTTTTTCCTTCGAAAAGATTAATTATATTGGGTTGTTAAACTAGTCGTCCCGCAACAACATTTTATACTATTTCAGTTACGGAAAGATGCCGGCTTTCGAATGAACCTCCATCCGGCTGCATTAATAATATACACCCTGCAAAAACGACTACTTAATTAGCATGAAGTTTTTTCCTTATTTTCGATGCCCCTAAATGTCGAATTATATTTCGTGAAAAACGTGCATAAAATATTAAATTTTGCTCATTCGGTAAAAAAATTGCGTTTTCTTCTAATTTTATACTCGAGGGCGGGAGATTAATCGGTTTTCAAAATATTTTTTATTCAGGGACTTTCAAATACGTGAAGTTGTCGCTCACAAATCATAATGTGTTTGCATTTTCCTAATCGTAGATAAATGTGTGGTTTTCCGTACTCAAAAAACATACGGATTGTAGTTTTGAAACCCCGAATCCAAGTGTAACGGCAGATCGGGTTCAAAGTTAGTCGGGAATAGGAAAAAGTTATTGAAAACCAAACTATATCCCTCCTTTGGGTATAAGATTTGAATAAAACGTAATTGTTTCGCGAATATGCAAAACAGGGCATATTTTTATGTACTTTTTCCATGCCGTATAATTGGACATTTAGGGACATCGGAAATCAATGAGGAAAAATCGTGCTTCTTAAGAAGTCCTTTTTTTACAGAGTGTAGTTTTTGCCCGCAGCCGGAAGGAAGTTTATTCCAAAGCGGGCACCCTGACGTAAGTGAAATATTATAGAATTCCGTTGGAGGCTGACGAGTTTTACAACCCCACGTAATTAATATTTTCGATACGAAAACAGATATCGGAATTTAGATTGACATTTCATGAGTTTGCATACCTAATGCACTTGCTTTCGGTGAACCCACTTCAAACCAGTGCTTTTATATGGAAACGTGGTTCAGTGACTGGAGAAATCGCTTAAAGGTCGTCTCAACACCGAGGCGGGGAAAGGAAATTTGGGGACACGGGATAATAGGAGTAATGCCACGGACAAGGTGATGACGAAAGGATGCGGAGAGGTGGATGTGGCTAATTGGCCTTTGACCACGGTAATCGCCGAGCCTGAGCAAGATTCTTTTGTGCTCTAATGGCCGGATTTTGTAACCTGATAGCGGCTGCTTCTGCTGTAGATAAGTGACGTTGGTTTAGTAGTCTAGGGTGGCTAGATGGCGTATTAAATGTCACACGATGATCTTAAATAGGGTACCCACGGCGGATTTTCACCTCCAACGGTTACCTTCGCATTTTTATAGAGTGCAGCAGATTGTCCAGACAAAGCATAATGTCGATAGTACATCAACCGAATGTTTGGCGAGCGCGCCATATAGTACAAACGTTTCCGAGGCAGTTGCTTGTACCTTGCAACCATTGCGTATCGGCATCGCGCATCAACCCAAGGCGACAATTAGACATTTGCTCATGAGACCAAAAATGTCTCTGTCAGCAGGCGAAACAATAAGCGTCGTCTATCGGATCAATACCAGTTCCTGCAAGGCGAACTACGTTGGAGAGACCGGTAAAAGATTGTAGACCCACATGGACGTGCACGCATGAACGGTACGACGAAGGTGGCAGCCATGCCTTCGCTTTTCAAGCCGCCGAAGTCTTCAGCCAAGGGAGAGATCAAACGGTCAGGAATACGCTCAAGGCATGCCACACCACTGCTATCTCCAATAACCGCTGTCTAACTTTGTCATCTGCGTACCGCGACCTTTGGGAGATGTTCAACAAGCAGGACTGCGTGCGAGGCGTCAGGCCGGGACGGCAGTAGTCCAACCCAGACCAAGAGGAACACAGTCGAGCATAGATAGGCATCGCAAACAGACGAAAACAGGAACAACAGCGGCGAACGCAAACCTAGAAGACCGCCTACCGAGTCTTAAATCAGGCAGGCGCGAGCAGTCGATCTGAAAGCACGACAGTGACAAGAACCCCCAGGCCGATGTTAACAAAGGCATGACAACCACCGTCCATACGGTTACGGGCAAGTGTGAACGGGCGAGGAAGGCGAAATATGTGGAGGGCGGACAACGGAAAATGCAAACAAGAGCAATGGCGCCGTTCCCCCTCCTAACAACAGACAAGGGATTAGGAGGAGCCGATACCGCTCGTGCTGCAGTGTGCTGGAAGTCAACGAAACGTCATCGCGAATGGAAACACTTAAATACTGTACGCAACCCACCGCCGATGTTCATTTCGTCTGACGACGGGTCGGCGTCAGCGACTTGAAAATTTGCGAGCACAACTCAATTTTCCGAAGAGCCTTCACATTCTCATTATATCACCTCGGAATGCACACCACATCAGTTATTCATCAGATTTCTGGGCGTCAAACGCTTATACTTACCAGACGTTGGGAGAAATTTGCACAGAGGCAGGGGACGACTTACGAACAGTTAACTTTTCTCCACCGCTGTCGCGATCATGGTGTCCTACCTAAGTCGCTCCGATTCATGCCCACCCGACCCAATGCGCGCAAGTATGGATTTCGTGTTTTGAGTGCCGTTATATCCGACGTCCACCATCGTCTTTGCCGCTTTGAAGCAACAATTTCTGACCTTAGAAGCCGATGCGTCTCTGGCCTACCTGAGAAGGTCATCTCAGAAATACTCACCGAATAAACGCCACCAGCAAACACGCCAGAATGAAGAAACGGGCCGACCTGCAAAAGAATCTACAATCTCTTTTTTGCACGGCCAGCGAGAACCGAATGTCTACGAAGGTTGTTAATTATTCGAAAAGGGACCTAACTTCCACTGAAATAAGCCTCCTGTCTAAGGGGATAAGATTCAATAACACCGATGCTGCAACTACGGACTTCCTAGCCAACCTTGAATCCCTCCTTCTGACCTCGGACGTCCCTGATAACATGCGTGCGGGCATTCGCAGTTGCGCCACTGGTCTCATCCGACAAAGGAAAAATCATCAAACCCTTTCGACCGAAGAGAAAAAGACGTTGCGATCGCTAGAGACAGATGACAAAATAGTTATTATGTCTGCTGACAAAGGAGGAGCAATTGTTATCATGGATAAGGTTGACTACGTCAACAAGGCAAACCAAATCTTCGATGACAGGGAAACCTATGCACCACTCGCTGCAGACCCAACGAAAAAGCAAGCCGCGACTATCAAGAAGAAAGTGAATAAGCTTGCCCGATTGAAGCTCATAAGCCCCGATGACAGCAGATCTATGACCCTCAATGACCCCCGTATCGCACGTGCGTACGGCCTTCCAAAGGCGCACAAGACAGATGCGCCGCTGAGGAGCATTGTGCCACTTATTGGATCCCCTACTTACAACCTTGTCAAGTGGTTATACAGGCACTTAAAGCACCTCGCAAATGGATCGCAATACAGCATCCAAAATTCTCAGGCTTTCCTACAAAAGATCCAAGGCCTTGAAGTAAGTTCTGACGAATGCATCCTATCGTTCGATGTTGTTGCCCTATTTTCGTTAATACCACATGACCTAGCAATGGACAGCGTAGCCCGATGTCTAGAGCAAAGTCCCATTGACATTCCAACAGAACATGCTCTAGACATGCTTAAGGTTTGCCTCAAGAATTATTGTCAGTTCGATGGCAAGTACTATTACCAAGTAAAGGGCACCGTACTGGGCTCCCCCATATCGGGGCTGCTTGCTGAACTAGTCTTGCAGCGACTAGAACAGGATGTTGTGCACACCTTTGAACCAAAAATGTGGATCCACTACGTGGACGACACATTTGTCATCCTAAAGACCAGGGAAGTTGAGCGATTGCATCAGAGCTTAAATAGCGTCTTCCGCCTATACAATTCACCCGCGAAGAAGCAACAGGAGATACCCTTCCCTACTTAGATGTGAGCATACAAAGACTCAGTGATAGCAAACTAGCGACAAGCGTCCACAGAAAAGACTCCAGTGCCGAAAGCATACTTAACTATGGGAGCAATCATCCTGCGGCCCATAAACGAAGCTGTGTCCGCACCCTTTTCCATCGGGCCTATCACATCTGCAACAGTGATGACGCACTTAAGAAAGCATTGGCCTACTTACATCGGTTGTTCCGTTTCAACGGATATCCTGCCAGTTTCGTAAAGAACTGTTTCAGTCGCCAGAGACAACTACCAAACCCCGAGTCTCCTGAAGATAGAGGGTTGCAGAAATTCTATTCACTGCCGTACATTCCGGGAATCTCTGAAGCAGTCTACCGGCAATTAAAACGCCCACTGTCATAATATATATATATATATATATATATATATATATATATATATATATTCGAAGAATGAGTCCTTTGGAAAAATGAACAAACTTTATTTCGTAAATTTTCGAGTCTGGTTCCCCAGCTCGTCTTCAGACCTGTAGAATGTGTGAAGGAACAGTCAAAATTTAAACACGCCTAAAAATCGATATTGCTTTGTCAGGGCTGAGAATGGGTTGATGCTGTGGGCTGGTGTCACGTCTTGATTGGCTATTACCTTTTTCGTGTTTCCTTGAGATTTGTGTACATGGCGCCAAGATCGACGTGCCGATTGATGCATGAATCATCTGAGTAAATGCCCTCTAGGAATTCTCGGCCTTTCTTATGTGGGCAGGAACCGACAATGCGTGTTTAATCCCAAGCGAATTTGTGCCCAGTTTCAAGAGTATGCATGGCGACTCTGGAGTTCATATACCAGAAACCGCTAGAGAACACTGGGGGTCCCACTGAAGTGCCGAACCCCTCGCAGCTGTGTCACGCAGCGGCAGAATATCGGCGAAAGACGTGTCTGGGCTTTTAGCAAGTATCTACGTCGGGAGTACGGTATAATACCTTTCCTATATGGATTTCGTACTTCTCGCAGTACTACTTGTTTGTAGAATGGGCATTTCGTGGTTTTTCCACAGAAGATGATTTTCGTCGACTCAAATGTTCATTGAACTTTCGGTTCTGACCCTAAAAAGTCATGTCCCGGAGATTTAACTCCAAGTCCTGCACTGATTAATTTCTGAAATTATTTGCTTGATTATTCTCTGGAGTTCATATACCAGAAACCGCTAGTGAACGCTGGGGGTCACACTGAAGAGCCGAACCCCTCGAACCTGTGACACGCACCGGCAGAATATCGGCGAAACACTTGTCTGGGCTTTCAGCAAGTATCTACTTCGGGAGTACGGTATAATACTTTTCATATATATATATATATATATATTCATTCCCAAACAATCTTACTTATTTTTAATATATATGTTTATATATATGTTTAAGTGTATATCATCCGCCGACGAAATTGAAGAGTGAACAGTAAAGTCAGCTGAGGAGTTTTTGGCTCGCATCTGACATCGTAAAGCGGAGACAGACGATGTGATGTTGTCCTTTGACGTGGTCTCACTGTTCACTTCTATTCCGCCCGACCTAGTCATCGACACTCTCGACGGACTGCTGCGAGAAACATACGACGAGACCAACCAACAGCTTAAAGCAGTGCACATCATCGAGGTCCTAGTACTGTGTCTTAAGACTTTCTTCACATTTAACGGCCAAGTTTACGAGCGACAAAAGGGAACGCCAATGGGTTAACCTCTGTCTGAACTAATTGCCGAAGCGGTTTTGCAGAGGCTGGAGCGCCTGGTATTCAGCTCGTACCCTCCGAAGTTCTGGGCCAGATATGTCGACGACACATTCGTCGTAAAAAAAGGTGCGACGTGCAAGATTTCAAGGCACTCTTGAATTCGATTTTTCCCGACGAACAGTTCACTATGGAAGAAGAGGGCGACAATCGATTGCTCTTCCTAGACGTACAAGTCACGAAACTGGCGGACGGGAATATAAAGACGACGGTCTACCGTAAGGCGACTAAAACAAGGCGCATCCTCCCCTTCAGAAGCAACCGTCCCGTCGGTCATAAACGCAGTTCTGTCAGGACCCTTTTCCAACGCGCCCAAACACAATGCAACGATGACGAGGACAGGAAGAAGGAGGTAAAGTACTTACGTGCCCAATTTTAAGCCAACGGTTACCCGAAGTCGTTTATACGCAAGCGTCTCAGGGAGTCCCACTCGGGGCGGTCGAAGGAGGAGAAACAAAAGTTCTGGCTCACGATCCCCTATGTGAAGAACGTTTCAGAGGCAATTTCGAGAATTATGAAACCTTTTAGAATTGGTGTGGCCCATAAACCAGCATCAACAATTAGGCAGCAAATCATCAGGCCCAAAGACCCGCTCCCGGTGACAGAACGATCAGCGGTGGTCTACAGCATACCATACCAAGGTTGTGATGCCAGGTACGTTGGTGAAACGGGAAAACGCCTTGGCACTAGATTGCACGAGCACCAGCTCGCAATCAACCCCAAGGATAAGCTGTCTTTGGTGTATGGCCATACACTAGAGCTGAACCACCGTTTCGCTTTTGAGAAAGTGAGTGTGATCGGACGAGCCAATGATAAAATGGCCAGACTAATGCTGGAAAGTTGGTTCTCGACTGGCACACTGAACCGAGTCATAGACCTACATCCCGCCTACCAGGCGTCCCGCGCAATAATCGAGTCAGTTAAGGCAGGGCCGATGGCGCAGATGAAAAGAGTCACACGAGGTCGACCGCCGACGCTCGCGGAGAGAGGAGAAGGCGCTGACCGAATGTCACGTGACCGGAGTGGCACACTGACTCACGGACGTACTCGCGAGGCCGGAAACACCACGCCTAAGAAACAAAGATCGATCAGCCCGCCGTCTGACGAGGGGGAGGCCAACGTGCACGCCGACGCAGCGGCAACCACGTTACGCTCTAACCACTTGAGCTACGAGGCCTTAAGTGGTTGGAGCGTTGGCTGTACTAAAGCCTTTCCCTTACTGCGTGGGTTCGAATCCCACCGGGGCGCCGTGTTTTTCACGGTTGGGTAAATATGAATTATTCAAACGCTGCCACAATATATATATATATATATATTGGTGGTAGGGGGCGCTCACCGATCGTTCATACGGAACTCACTCGTTCCGTTGTGCTTTAAGAGCTCTCTCTCGAGCCCAACCAGCAGCCGCACAGCGGCGCATGATACATAGGCAGAATAACATTACCGACATAGACAAGGGAGACTGGAATGGCCATTTCTGGCTTATTAGCCGTCGTCAGCCAGCCATACCCAAGCCCGAAGTGTGAAACACCCGAGCCTCCAACTCGCGACCTGTTGGTTTAGAAGTCAACACCTCTACTCACCGGGCCACGAGCCCGTTGCCTTGTCGGTTTTCGATCGGGAATATACAGTGGTAGGGGGCGCTCACCGATCCTTCATACGGAACGAGTAAGTTCCGTATGAACGATCGGTGAGCGCCCCCTACCACTGTATATTCCCGATCAAAAACCGACAAGGCAAGGGGCTCGTGGCCCGGTGAGTAGACGCGTTGACTTCTAAACCAACAGGTCGCCAGTTCGAGGCTTTGGTGTTCCACACTTCGGGCTTGGGTATGGCTGGCTGACGACGGCTAATAAGCCAGAAATTGCCATTCCAGTCTCCCTCGTCTTTGTCGGTAATGTTATTCTGCCCATATATATATATATATATGATACATTCAATCAAAATTCTATCACTATGTTCAGCCGACGGAAAAAACTGAAAATCATGAAGTATTCAGCTATACTTAGAGGCTGATCTTAAATTCAGAGTGGGCCAGTACATTCGTAAGGGGAAGGCTTTAGCACAGCCAACGCTCTAAGCACTTGAGCTACGAGGCCCCGCCGGACGGCGCGAGTTTTAGTCTCATTTGGGTCAAGTTACCCGCCCGAACTACTGCCACGTCTTGAATCCACCAAATCCGATACAGTAAGTTGACTGCCTAAGCAGGATTTCCGAAGTAATTCACCTGGAATCCATCATATGACTACCAGGCACACGTAATGCATATATGTTTTGGCAGACTTTTCACAGTTAGGTCAATATGAATTATTCAAAAATCTGCTAAATCATCCATGATATAGAGGATATTTTAAATCAAGACAATTATCCGTGGTATGTCCTCTTCTGGACCGCATTTGGTTATCGGTGTCGTTTTTGATTTGACAGTAGTTGTCTAAATTTTAGCGTTTTCTAAACTGGCATATGCCATTTTTAGACAATTGTTTAAGGTCTGAATAAAAAGATAAAGCTGAATATGAACAAGCAAGTCTTTCTCAGGAAAACAACAGTCTGGTTTTCCTTCAGCGACATAATTTTAAATCTGTTCATTATGTTTAACCTAAACCGTCTTTGTTGTCTGCATGTAACCCTTTATTCGCAGACATAATATTTGTAACCGCGAAAAGATTGCCAGTACGGTTGCTACGTTTTCGTTTTCCAACTGTTACTTTTCTGCGATTTGGGCATGGCAGGGGAACATGGAGTTTAAAAGTCCGAGGTCTGGCGTCAGGTTTAGGATTAGGAATATGTGGATTATAATTGGGACTATAATTAGTTCTATGAAAGCTAGAGTTGAGTGAATGAGTGTTGATATTATGGTGTTATGATGGCACGGTAAGTGCTAAGATTAACTGTAGGACACCAGAAAAGTAAGCCCGTGGAATTTGGCGCCAAGCAGTCTATACATTTTGCGAGTCCATATTCCCGTATCCGACCGAATTTCGGAAGAGAAAGCAAATAATATTGGAGCTTGCGAACTGTTAAATGAGTAATGCAGGAACTATTTGGAGTAGGTTCAACCAGAGAATAAAGTGTAAGGTTGAGATAAATAGCACAATTGTTCCTGTTCAAGAAGCAAAGTGAGGTTTTCGTCCGTTGCCAAACCCTGGAAAAAGTGCCTTTTTTCTTGAGAGTAAATGACATATGAGAATATGTACCAGCAACGTAACCTAGTAGAGTACGTTATAAGAGGCGAATAATTAGAAA